AAAATTAAAGAAAAAATCCTAGTAAAGAAAAACGTACTTCAGAAAGTATCTTAACCCTTAAAAGAGGTCTTAAGGTCAAAATTGTTTGGAGTACGGACGAGGACTTTTAAGAGGCTTAAGAGTTTCTTTAGCAGAGGAGAAAATGGCGGAAAGACCATTTGGGCCCGTATTCATAAAGATAAGAATCCTCTCAGAAAACTCTTAATTTAGCTTAAAAACTTTTACGTAGGAGTCTTAGTTTAAAGGGATAGTTCACTTTGAAATTAATTTTTGATATGTTTTAGCTTACCTCAAGGGCATCCAAGATGTAGGTGTCTTTGTTTCCGCAGAAGTTTCAATTTTGATATTTTTAGGTCAAACCGTTCTTGTCTGTCAGTCATATAATGCAGGTCTATGGTCACCACCTCAAAGAGCATGCACAGAGAAGTCCAAATTAAACATGATTTAATGACTCGTAAATGTAAGTACACATTGATGGCCTAAGACACGAAACGAGCGGTTTGTGTGAGAAAACGAACAGTATTTATATCGTTTTTACCTCTTGTAAACACAGCTACGTCCAAGTGATCTGAGGGCGCCGGCGCTTCGGTCTTTTCCGGAAAGCGCCGGAAGTGAAACCTCGCGCGTGTAAGTCACTCATTGTTTACACAGAGCAGAGATTGTAGGTAAGACGGCTAATTAAAAGGGTACTAATTTGCGCTTACCTGGGATGTTTAAACCGTCGTAAAAGAAAACAATTCCAAAAAAAATAAAACAATTGTATCAGTGAGTACACGCGCGAGAGATCACTTCCGGTGCTTGCCGGAAAAGACCGAAGCGCCCGCACCCTCAGATCACTTGGACGGGGCTGTGTTTACAAGAGGTAAAAACGATATAAATACTGTTCGTTTTCTCACACAAACCGCTCGTTTCGTGTCTTAGACCATCAATGTGTACTTACATTTACGAGTCATTAAATCATGTTTAATTTGGACTTCTCTGTGCATGCTCTTTGAGGTGGTGACCATAGACCTGCATTATATGACTGACAGACAAGAACGATTTGACCTAAAAATATCAAAATTGAAACTTCTGCGGAAACAAAGACACCTACATCTTGGATGCCCTTGAGGTAAGCTAAAACATATCAAAAATTAATTTCAAAGTGAACTATCCCTTTAAGAGCGATTCGGGACCGATCTGAGAGCAACTCTGAGTAAGGAAAAGACAAAAACTCTCATCTTAGTGAGGAGGCGGGGCTGACCCCATTGCTATGTATGACACAATTTTTTGAAGATTGTGATTGGTTGGTTGTCCAAGAAGGAAAAAAAAGAGTGATTTTAACTATAGGGTCTATTCTACGCCTTCACTTTAAAATTAAATGCGTCATTTTTTCCTATTTGACCATTCTCTCTCTCACACACACACACACACACACACACACACACACACACACACACACACACACACACACACACACACACACACACACACACACACACACACACACACACACACATTAAATATGTGTATATAAATCCTTTTTTTTTTATTTACCATGCTGTTATTTTCCTGTATAAGGTATTTGATTGGCTTAGAATGATAAAAATTGTTCCACTCTTTCAATTACACTGATTGCTGGCATGTCTATTTAAGTGGTGGTTTGAATGTTGGTTTTAATGTAACAAATATGGAATCAAAACCAAGAAGGACGAGAAAGCCCGACTGGACAGAGGAACGGTGTTTACTGTTAGCCCAGTTAGTGGATGAACACAAGGCCATCCTTAAAGGAACATTGGGGCCGGTTGTCAATCTATAGCGTCTTATTAACTCACTGTCATCCATTGTCTGCAACACATTTCTTCTCCCTCTTCGTCTTCCTGCCATTTTCTCCTCTGCTAAAGAAACTCTTAAGCCTCTTAAAAGTCCTCGTCCGTACTCCTAACAATTGTGACCTTAAGACCTATTTTAAGGGTTAAGAGACTCTCTGAATTACTTTTTTCTTCACTAGGATTTTTTTTTTAATTTTAAGGGGAAACACCCACATTTCTAAGAATTTTCTTAGAATTTTGTCACTAGGAGCGACTCTTTGCATTAAGATTCTTTATGAGTACGGGCCCAGATCCATTAATATTAACACAAATCTTAAATCTTAATATTAACATAAAACATACATCTTTTTAGAAGAGGTCGCAAAAAGCCTGAGCCTTGAGTGATAAATAACTCAACCCCTGGGTTGTTATATCTGATCTGCTTGGGTAACACAAAAACTACCCAAACACTCAAAACATAACCCAAAATATTGACCCAAAAGGCTCAACCCAGGATTTGGGTATAAAAAATAACCCAATATTTTTTAGAGTGTATATAAACAATGTATTATTAAATGCTGAAATTCACATTAATTAATAAACGCATTCATTGTAAATTCGTTTAAATTAACTAATGCTAAACTTATTGTAAAGTGTTGCCAAATACTTAGTCCTAACATAGATTCAAAAACATGCTTTAATTACATAAAATAATGCGGTCATACTTTATTTTAGGTGTGCTTGTCACAGTGTAATTATACATTTACTTTAATAAATTTACAACATGCTCTTGCTTAGTTGCATGTGATTACTGTAGCAAGTACATGTAACGTGTGTAACAAAGACACCGCAAAATAAAAGTGTTACCAATAATGCTGCTGAACACCATCATAAACCCCCAGGTGTTTATGGACCCCCACTTCCATGGGCATATAGGAAAAAATAACCAAGTAAACTATATCCGTTTCTGTTTTACACAGTTAAGTCGAGGAAACAATCCCAGCTGTCTAACCATCTCATTCTATGTGAAGATTGCTCATCAAAAATAATGGTGCCTCTGAAACACTCAAGGAATCGACTGAACGCATCAATAGCTTTGTGTTTGTCTTTCCTCCTCCTGGACCTCTTTGTAAGTTCACTGAATTTCTAGGAACACAATCAGCTGAACAGCATGTAGAGATATCAAGCAGAAAGGCAGATCTTTCACCCATCTATATAGTGTCTTATCAGCTGAATTTCATATCATTATCAAAGGTAGCTTGTGTTGGCCTTAGCAGACGCAACCAAAAAGTTTCAGGAGATTATCAGACTTGAAAACGCTTTAGATTAAGGTAAAGTTTCGACCTCGCTGTCCTTGCAAAGCCAAAACTAATCAAGGAACTCCACCTTTGGAAGGTATATTACAACTCTATCAACGCTCCGATAACACTGACAAGGATAAAAAAGGCTCATTTGTGCTGTGGCCTGAAACTGTCACTTGATTCTTGCTGACTTTTGTGCAAGGGCTAAATAAGCTTGAAAATCCTTCTAACTGAATGGCTATCAAATCTTCCTTTTGAAACCAATGGAAAGCTTGACCCCCACGTACTCCGAGTCAAGCAAGTCCAATGAGAGGGTTTGTGTTAAGCCGTAGGATTTGAGTTAATAAACCCAGGCACTGTATTTGCGGGCGCTGTCCAAGGAACTGTCATTAACCTAATGTTCTGCAGGATGAAGCTGAACATCTGACTTGCTTTAGGATTGAGCATGTGAGGCCATCCTATCAAAACACATAAGTGATTTAATTATGTATAATTGTGTGCACTGAAACATTTACTTGACCATTATCTATTTCCATTGACAAAATTTAACACTATCAGGTTTTTTGGACATGTACCAATATTACTATGTCCGTTTTACTTCACAATGTGAAAAGATTTTCACATAGAAATATAGTTAGAGGGGGATTGCAGGATTTCTATGCAGTCACCAGGCTGACAGTAATTCCCATATCTAAATAATCTGTTCCAGCAGATGGCCTCATTGAGCCATTTCATATGCAAAAAGCCTGCTTAAGCCCTGCTTTTCATAAATGAACCTGTTCTGCTTTAGTTTTAAGCTTATTTCATCAGTATTGTTGTTCTGAAACAACAATCAACATCATGTTCTGAGAGAGCATGTATTGATGACTAGGGCGTATTGGTTTATAACCCTTTAAACCAACAATAAAATTGATGCATGGTGGATGTGTATTTATTTTGTGGCTAAGAGAAATTAAATGTTCATGAATATTTCATTAATCGATTTGTGAAGGTTTTGGATGTAGGTACTTCAGTATGTCAAGCCTTCTTAATGTTTATTCCTTCAGACTAAATATTTTTATGCTACTAGCCCTTATTTTTAATTTGACAGTAAGTAATCTATAAGTGTGCATGTATTTTTTTTCAATTTCAGTAGCAGCATGTTTTAAATAGGCCTATTAGTATTTATTCATTTGCTACTGCTGGATAATTGTACCTATATGAGACACTAATATCTTTCACAACTGTTACCAGTAACATTTATGATCTTATTAGTGCTTTTAACTAGTCATATCTAGTCAGAATGTTGAATAGTTTGAATAGTTAAAAGTAACTAAAGAAAGTGAAAATACCACTTAAAGGAGTAAAACTGGATGAAGTACCTGTAACAATTGCAATAGTAAGTGAATATCTGAACTAAAGATCGTCATATGACAAAAATAAAATAAAATGCAATTTGTTATAGTAACAGTTCCTTGTCATTTAATGGGATAGTGACCAGTTGCAAATGAATAAGAATTAATATTATTATATAGGCTACTAGTCACTATGGAATAAGTAGGCTACTGGTATTTAATAAGTTGCTGTGAAAAGGAATTCAAAAAGATACTAGTCACAATTAGATTGCTTACTATTATAAAAAAGAAAAAAGAAGCAGGCATAAATTCAAGTTAGTTGGAAGAAATACATGTTAAAATAGCTTGCCATAACTCAGATATGTCAGTGCTTTTCAGTAGAGCCCTGCACAGTAGACTGCAAGTCTTCTGAAAAACTCAAGCAAACTATTGCACTGCCAGAAACAAACACGATGATGCTCAAGACTGTTTGCATCAATCTCCTGAGACAGACAGACATGCAATTGTAACAGTGCATATCATTAAAAAACTTATCGTTGTTTTTTCAATCTCTTTAGCGCCTTTTAGTTTTTTTTTATTAATGCATTGTAAAGTTGACATACGAATATGCACGCTCCACTGCCACTGCTGATGCACATGTGATGCTGCGCGACCAGACGAGTGAGTGAGCTGTAAACCCACATGATGTGCTTGGGACGACAACAGCCTTTCCTTATAGGACCGATGCAAACGCTTTAAACCCACTTTTAAGGAAAACTAATAGAAGGAATATGTTTGTGTTAACGCACAAGATGGAACGGGGACAAATCGGACGCCTGAAACGTGAGAAGTGCGCTCGAATTGAGATGCGCTGAACGCAACACAGTACTGGATGTACACAGGAACGCACCGCAAAGAGGACTTTGTTGCCAGTTAAGTGAAGCCCTTTGGCAAAAAAAGCTTGGAAAAAAAAAGGAGCGGAGAAATTTTATTCGACAGAAACGATGTGAAATGCGGATCTCTTGTTGTTTCTCAAACGAACTGTCACCCGTTGCCTCTCTGTAGAGTCTGCTTTGGGAACAACATGACACGGACGCGCTGTCATTAGCGGGGACAAATCAGACCAACGCAGCAGCAATCTGATCAATACTATCGATAAGCTCATATATAAGGCTAATCATCACGCCTGCCTATGTTTGCTTAACCTGTTTTGGAGAGTATGCTGTGGGACCATGAACAAACTGACAAGGTATGAAAGCAGAAATGAATTAGATGCTAAATATTTTTATAAGCATGATTAAGTAATTACTAGACTAAATGTATGTCTTTTTTCTTCTTTTGGTCATATTATGTTCATTGGGAAGGTCTGTGGGAGATCATGGATCCGTTTTTGAGCTCCTCAAAAGATTTTAACATTGAAATTATGATATTTGTTTTGCAAGATGACTGCTACAGTCAGCATAGCGACGGACAAAGCAGATCAACTAGTTGCTCCGATTCCTGTGTAAGCACTCTTGGTTTGGTCTGGAATTATGGGGTGACTGCTCATTCGACTCGGTGAAAAAGCCATGGATGTGAACTACTCCACGGTTCTGGACAGCAGTGTGTCGCAGCGCGGTTCGTCGAAGCGAGTTCTGACTGGTTGTTTTCTCTCGCTCCTCATCCTGACCACCTTACTGGGCAACACATTGGTCTGCGCTGCCGTCACAAAGTTTCGCCACCTGCGCTCAAAAGTCACCAACTTCTTTGTTATATCGCTGGCTATTTCTGACTTGCTGGTGGCCATTTTGGTGATGCCATGGAAAGCGGCCACCGAGATTGTAGGTTTTTGGCCATTCGGCGCCTTTTGCGATGTCTGGGTGGCCTTTGACATCATGTGCTCCACCGCCTCCATCTTGAATCTGTGCGTCATCAGCGTGGACCGCTACTGGGCCATTTCTAGCCCATTCCGCTACGAGCGCAAGATGACGCCCAAGGTGGCGTTCATCATGATAAGCGTGGCGTGGACGTTGTCCATCCTTATCTCCTTCATCCCAGTGCAGCTAAACTGGCACAAAGCCCAGACAACCAGTTACACGGAGCTGAACGGCACCTACGGCGAGCTTCCCCCAGACAACTGCGACTCGAGCCTTAATCGGACATATGCCATCTCCTCTTCCCTGATCAGTTTTTACATACCTGTGGCCATTATGCTGGTCACTTACACCCGCATCTACCGCATCGCTCAGAAGCAGATACGCCGGATCTCTGCGCTAGAAAGAGCGGCCGAGAGCGCCAAGAACCGCCACAGTAGCATGGGTAACAATGGCAGTATGGAGTCCGAAAGTTCCTTCAAGATGTCCTTCAAGCGTGAAACCAAAGTTCTCAAGACCCTCTCGGTCATCATGGGCGTTTTCGTGTTCTGCTGGCTGCCCTTCTTCGTCTTGAACTGCATGGTTCCTTTCTGCAACCCGAACGAGAGCGATAGCGACTTCTTGTGCATCAGTTCCACCACCTTCGATGTCTTCGTTTGGTTCGGTTGGGCCAATTCCTCACTCAACCCCATAATCTATGCCTTCAATGCTGACTTCCGCAAGGCGTTCTCCATCCTGCTGGGCTGTCATCGGCTCTGCCCGGGCAGCAACGCTATAGAGATTGTGAGTATCAACAACAACGGTGGCCCTCCGTCTACTTCTCACTATCAGCCTAAGGGCCACATCCCCAAAGAGGGCAATAACAGCAACTATGTGATCCCTCACAGTATCCTCTGCCAGGAGGAGGAGACCCAGAAGAAGGAGGACGACTCTGGGATAAAGACCTTTGAGAAACTGTCACCTTCCATGTCGGGTAACTTGGATAGCGATGCGGAAATCTCGCTAGAAAAGATCAACCCCATTACACAAAACGGGCAGCACAAATCCGTACCCTGCTGAGTATTGGCTGAGATTTGACCCCAACAAAGAATCCTTGTTTCTATACAGTACTGAATCCAAAAAAAGCTTCACTGAGGACCTTAATAACAATTCTTGGACTAAATGAAACTTGCGGGAAAACAAACGAATGTTCCAATTGAAGGCACTTTATGCTGGATAACTATCTGCAAAATATTCGCAGCATTTATTATTGACTTTAACAGGTCAGTTGTTGCAAGACATCAATGGAAAGTAATGTGAATAAACCGTGTATGCATATGTATACATGTTATGAATTTGAAATGTGTATACATGTGCATGCCCATGTGGTTGTGGTTAAACTACTGTTGTTAGTATAAGGACAAGAGTTAGGTCACTAGTAAAATATCTTGTAGGTGAGTTTACGTAAATGGCTCACAAGTAGTGAAACTTGGTTGCGTCTACTGTCGACAATAAAATGTACATAGTGTTGTTTATATTTTTCACCATTTATCAGAGTTGGCTAAGTCAACATCTCCATACGCTGCTAGTTGTGAAATTGTATGTGCAAACCACCCCATAATGTGACTTGAGAGCAGTAGCCATTCTTACCTTGTCTTCTGTGTGTGCATTGGTGTGATGTCAAAGAAGTCAGGGGGCAGTGGATTTTTCTGCTATGTGATTTATCAGCTGTGGAAGTGGCCATGAAATTTGGATGTAATTTTTAATGCTTAGATGTCAAAGAACTCACCCAACCCCCTTCCTTACCGTTAGCCCTACACATGTCACAGTGCAGGACAGCACAGGGAAAATACGATCCCAGCAGTAATCTCACCGGCCGCTACCTACATTTCAATCGTCATTATGCTCACATATATATTCTTGTATCCATCACAGGGTGTATTTAAATGTTAGAAGAAGGCTCATGTGGAACCTAGTTCTGCTTTTCCTCTTTAAATCCATCCAATTTAAACGTACAAAAGTAGTTGCAGGCACCACGGCTGCCTTTAAACCGTTTCTTTTGCCAACTCTATGTGGATGAACTTTGCTCTAGGACAGTGTGGAATACCACTAATGCACAATGGAAAAATGTAATTACTGCATCTTATGCAACACATCTGCCCAGCCACCCAGAAAGATGTTGTGACCTTGCCGGAAACACCATAGGAAGCACTCTGTAGGTCTTTCTAGTGCTTCCAAGCATATCCAGGATGAAAACCATCTTGCATCATGCATATAGTTTATTGTGCAGAATCCAGCCCCTGAACTGTTATGTCAGCTGTCAGATGGGAGGGTGTATGATTACCAACATACGTCACATCCAGGTACATTGTCTCTCAATTTGCCTTGGAACACTTTAACCATTTTAGCTCACTTGCCCAAACAGAATCCGGGGCGTATAAACTGCTGTCCCACTTTTAATAATTTGTTGAGCTGTTTTGTTTGGTTACGTAACTGCCCTTGATCTAAGTTAATTCCAGGGCCTATCATCCATTGAGCGCTTCCCATGAACTTCAGGATTTGAAAGAACTGACGCGCATGAGCTTGTTCTCAGAGTGCATTAGGGGGGGAAAATGCAAGCAAGATAGAAACCAGACCAACATATTTAGTCTAAATCAATGACGGTAGCTTTTAGATCAGTTTGCCCATTTTTAGCTGATCATAGACACCCATTTAGTTTACACTGACTCTCATGTAATGGAGAAAATCTCGAATATTTTGCCTTCAATAATACTCTGTGCCAAAATGCTGAGGACATCATGATCAGCAGACTTTGCCAGTGTCCTTTTCTCTTACTCTAATATTCTCCTTCTGTCTAAAAGCTTGTCAGAATCAACTTCAACTGTTCGGTAACATAGTAAGTGAATATGTACGTGCAACTTGGACAAATTTGAGAGAGAGACTAGACAAACAGAGACTTCAGTACACATATTTGTCTAAAATTGGACATTTGCTCCAGGGAATTTTCCAAAAGACTCTGTTTACTCACCCGCCTGTCAAAGACCCGTTCTTCATAATGCTGCTATGGAAATATTCAGCTATATGTTTTATTTAGTTCCAGGAAGTTTGTCTTAATGACCTTCACGTGTCAAACTCAAATGCTAATGTTGGGATATTTAGGGTGGTTGGTTTCAGCAGCATTCAGTTAAGCAACATTGGATTTATTTTCTCCAACGAGATTATTAGCATTTAAAATGAACCTCAGTGACATTCTGAAAAGACCCAGGTGCTTCTTTTATTGCAAACTCTAAGGTATTCCCAGGATTGCTGGGGAACCACGGGTAGTCTTTTAATTAGAAGTGAATAACATAACAGTGGGACAAGTTGCTCGTTTTCTTTCTTACCAAAGATTGCAGGTTTATCTTTTGATTTTGCAGGTGTTGCTCTGTATACTTACACAAACCAGTGATTTCAGGTTGAGATCTGTCTATTTCTGTTTCTTTTGGAGAAGGCTGAAAATGACAACTGCAATGATAAAGGCAAGAACTTACAATTCTGTGTGACGGTGGCAGCACAACCCCCTTGAAACATTACTTTATCAGCTGCATTGTACCACTGTTTATGGACATTCATTCCAAGGTGATACAAAAAGGACTATTTGACACCTTAACCTCAGATGGTCAACGAGTATACGCATTGTAACATAAACGGGAGAAAAAACTGTGTTGTAAGATGTTAAAATAGAGATGTGAACACAAGTGCTTTTTTTATCTTTAAGTCCTTAATTGTGAGTAGAGGGAACAAATGTACATGATGTTTTCATGTGTGTTTGTCATGCAGTTAAAGCACTGTACCGGTTTCCGTGATCCCATCAAGTAGGATGTGATCCTGGATTAACATGTTTTGTTTGTCCTGGAACAACATTGTCCTGACGTTAACATGATCTACCGCTGAACCTGGATTGGTTGGTAATGTTTTTGAAGCCCCAACCTCAGCCTTGAAGGAATATTCCGGGTTCAGCAGAAGTTCAATCAACAGCAACCATATTTCCCAAGAAAATAAGTTTCAAGGTCCTTGCCTTGAGTCCGAAATTTTCGTGTGTTTTTTTCGTATTTGTCATCCTAAAAATTCGTCACGCACTGAAACCTTGCACATTGAGTCTGATGCGTATGAATTAATCCATTGCGAAAAAATGTCAAAACAATACAAAGTCTTCAAGCAGTGAGGTTCACCATCTCAAAAAGATAAAAAGAAAGAGGAAATATTGGGTCCATCCAATCCTGAGATTGCGTAGAGAGGAAGGAGAGTTCCAGCTCCTTATCAAGGAGCTGCGGGATTATCCCGAACGATTCAAAGTTTACTTCAGGATGTCAGTGGCTCAGTTCGATGCTTTGCTAGCGATACTGGAGCCACATATTAAAAAGAAGACCACCAATTTCTGTGAACCAGTTGATCCTGAACAGTTCTGGATTTTGGGGTCCGCTTGTACGGTGGCTCTGAATTGTCAAAACACCTCTCAAAATGCTTGCTACGGATGCGAAAAATTCAGAAAATTTAACCCAATCCGAATTTTTTTATAACGAACGAAAGTTTCGGAGGCAGTGTGTAAACGTGATTGACACAACGTGAGGTTGAATTTTTTTTTTTTTGTCGTGGATTTCGGACTCGGTGTGCAAGGACCTTAAGTCACATTAAATGGAAGTGTATTAGGTCAATTTTTGAAGGATTTGAGAGCAGAAATGTGAAGCCGATAGTTTTATAAAAGCATTCCTCTGTTAAAACTTACGCATTATTTAAAATCTTAAAATCCTTTAAATATTTTCTTGTGGCAATGACACTGCAAGACAGGATTTAATTTTACACAGAAAAGGGTTTTCACACTAAAATCATGCTAACATGTATATTGTGGCTATATACTTTTGAAGCAGAATATTTCATTATTTACGGATTGGCCCCATTCATTTCAATTTCAAAGAAAATAAGGAACGAGCGGAAATTCATTTTTGTTGTAATCAGCATCACGACTGAGCTTGCTCTGAACCCAGTATATTCCTTTAAGCCTATGCTTAACCTCAAACCTAACCTACAAATTTGACAGGTTGACATGAATGTTGTTCCGGGACGATCAAGGATGTCGATCGGGGAACATGTCCAACTTGGCAAAATCGCTGACCGTCTCTGTACAGGTTCATATGTGTGCTGCAGTTCTTCAAGGTATACCCAACAAATTTATTACAGTACCTAGTTTACAGTTTGTATAAAACGGTCCCTTTCTATTTGCTAAATAAAAGTGTATGTTGTTTTTGTAATCTTGTTTGCTGTGTATTTTCACTATACGAGGTGTCACGGAATCTTTTATGAGGTATGTCACTGCCAATTCTTTATTTAAAGGTCAGCTCTTTGCGGAAAATCAATCCTTATTGATTACACCATCAATGACGCACTTTTGTCAGCTAGAAGTGTGTCCTCAATCGGGTAATTTACATAACATTTTTTATTGAGAAGGAAAGTTCAGCTCCTTCGATTGATTACACTTTCTTTTTTTAACCTTTATTGTCATTCCGTGGCCAGAAGGCTTGCGCGATGACAGGTATGAGGAGTAATGTGACATGTCACCGGGCCCCTGGAGTGAACTGGAGTTAAGGGTTTTTATCCGAGGGCAAAACAGGATGGTCAGAGGGGAGACCAGAATATTAGTATCAGTAACTCAAGGGCAAGAACTAGCTCTGCCTCCCCTGCCGACCCACCTGGATATGAATCAACGACATAGTTCACCCCAAAATGATGAAAAAACATTATTTAAATCACCCAAACCTGAATGACGTAGTTTATATTTTTGGTTGAACTATCCCTTTAACGCTTTCTGGATGTGCCCTTTTTGAGCAGTCTGAGATCAGACTCTTATTATTGATTTAATACACATTTTAAATCAGCATGCCAGCAGAATTTGAACCTCGTAAAGTGTTATTTTACCTTGAAAGTTGGCGAAAAGGTTTCAGCTCATTATGAAAATGCTGAATGCAGGAATTCAGCTTTAGTTCCCGATATTTGTTGAAGGTCAAAATAATTGAGGAGAAGATATGAATAACTATTATAACACAATCACAAACATTCCTATCCGGATGGAATTCGATTTCTCAGAGGGAACCGTGAGTTATCAAAAGAACAGTTGGCAATTTGCTACATAATTTATATTGAGAAAAACACAGATGTGTTCAATTCAGATGAGATTAAAATCATAAAGTGAGTCTGGGAATAAAAACAAACACAAATTTACCTGAGGGAAAACTGGTCCTCTCTAAATAGGACCAATTTAGAAATGAAATACTAATAATAATGTTATCTTGGGATAAGAAAAAAAAATGAAAATT